CTTTGCTCAAATTCTCATAATCCCTGTAGTTCAGCCACTTCTCTCGATTTTCAGCTGCGAGTTCATGTTTATGACTACAAAGAATTTACACACGGAGGTACAAGATGTTGCTTTAGTCAGAATTATACTTATCATCCGGATTGGGGCACAGGTCAGGCCATTGAGTGTCTTCAAGTCTGTCCTCCTCGTCCTGCTGATGGAGCAGCGGGTACAATTTCTGCATCCGCTGCTCCACAGGGGACAACGCTGTGGTGATAAGACGGTTAAGAAGAGAACAAATACAGAAATACAAAAACATCCACACAAGGTCAAACTAGCTGCAAAAACAGCAACAGAGATTAGGACTGAATCTACAAGATTTTTGTATTTTCCAAATACATTCATCCAATCATCCCAAAAGGAGTTATCTATTCCTGAGTGGTCTTTCATTTTGCTGTGAAGCGTTTTTAGGCCCTCTATGGCTCGAGTGAGGCTGCCATCAGCAGCAGGAATGAACGTGCGACACGTTTCTCCAAACATGGCACATACACCTCCTTTTTCTGCCAGCAGCATGTCAAGGGCTATACGGTTTTGGAAAGCCATCAGGGATGTTACAGATAACTGCGAGTGACCGGTCCTAAATACCAGCCTCAGTCCAATTACCTAGCTTTTGATTGTTGAAATGGATGTAGTTGATTCTGATTTGATCTATATTTTTGTTCATTGTACACCAAGGACAGACGAGAGACTCAAAGCCTGCAGCAACTTGATTTACTAGTTTATACTCATCTGGTACCTCACAAGGAACTATCTATATAAGTCGGGTCTGACTCTGTTTGCTAATTTCTTTTACTCTGGAGTGGCTCAACAAAGGAATAAGACTAACTGCAGAGGTTAAATTTGCCATACTGGTCTGGAAAGTTACAACAGTTAGGATTAAAGTCACTAAGGCCCTATTATCAGTCTACTGTCATTTAGGTACAGCTACAGAAACACGTACAGGTTTGTAAAGGTTAGGGAATTCCTAGTACAGACATAGAAGTTAGACTGATTCTACATTTTTGCTAGATATTTTTGCATATCTGTACCACATGTTCACTTCAAATAAATCTTTTTTTTTTTTTTTTTTTTTTATTGAGTGGGAATGCTTCACAATCCACTATATTTTATTCATATCTTTCCTAGTAGCAGTTAAGCTATAGTAAAGTTCTCAGTGTCTTCACCACATGAAGTAACTGTGGTGTCCGTCTGGGTGATTCATACCCCTGCTCACTGTCTCTCAGGTTTCCTCTCTGCACATGGTCACCTTCAGAACAGCTGAATGTGATTTTTGATTGGTTGTCACACAGGATGTGAGGATTATTGTTGTTGTCACTTCTCTTTACTTCCTTAAGTTCATCTGAAGTTGTAAATATCAAACAAATTTAGATTACAGATGTAATTATCAATCAATTTAAGTAAAATTGGAACAGAACTCTCCAGATTTAATTTATTCAAAGGACAATATTAACTGTAAAAAACAAAACAAACTTTACATGGTCCATAAATACACCGCAGAGGAAAATAAACTTGTACAGGAATGTTTTACCGTCTTTCTTTGTTTTTATGTGGACAGATATGTGTCTTTGTTGACAGCTGCTAGATAATCTGGTTAAGTGACATCAATACGGGGTGGCTTTAATTTGCTTTCCTTAACCTTAACATGTATAATTTGGAGGTTATAGATTGCCACAAAACGTACAATATAATTTTGCTCTATTAACAAAATAAATAGATGGAGTGACAAAGATGGAGTGATGCAGTTCAATGCAATGCAATGTCCTTGTTTTATACAGAAAATTTTAATTTAAAAGGAATGTCCATATTAGAAGAAATTTTCTGGTAATTCAAATGTTTCATTTTAATTCTGCAAAAATAAAGCACAATAAAGAACAAGGATTTAAATAAAAAGTCACTGTACATTAAGTGCCATGCACGAGCCCAATTAATAGTCAGATGTCAGCCTATTTGGGTGCATTTTGGTCAGAGTAAAAGGGCTTCTTGTTTTGTTGAATAAAAAACTTCAAATAAAACATATGCAGAAAAAATAACTTAATATACTCAACTTCTCAAGTGGAGAGGTACAAACACACAGTTGTCTCATAATTATCTGTTTGTACGATAAGAAGTCATGATATCATTCAGGTGGTATTCATAATGTATTCCATAATGTTAGTATTGCGGCGGAGCTGAGTTTTAATGGGACGTTCAAATGCAGGGAGGTGCTCAACAAGCATTTTTAGTAACAATTAAAGAGATACAAGAGTCAAATATGGTTTAGCAGAAGTAAGATACTTAACTTCCCCATTTCCCTAAGCTCCTAAGGAATTCAACACCATCTAATCTTCACTGACATTGAGACGAACGCCCACTATAAGGACGCCCCCCTTTGAAGTCAGACTTTCCTAACTAAAACCCATATAGGTTTTTTTTGCAAAAGGGAAAGATGTATCCAACTACTTCTTTGTGCTATTTTTAATGCTGTGGGTGTCATTAGCAGTACCTTTTTTTTTTTTTTTTTAATACTCCTCCCACTTACTTCAACGTATTCAAAACTATTCAAACTTCAGGAGATTCCAGCTTATATTCAAAATTTTCCTAACATTCATACTTTCAGAGATAGTCCAGATTTTCTGACCAATTTTTCTTATTAGAAATGGATTATGGAATTTTTAAAGTGGCCTTTTTCTCACATTTTCTTTACACAACTTTAAAAGCCTTCAACTTCTCTATACATCCAGATTATGATCATTTTAATTTTTTCAGTTTTAAATCATTTCATTCTTCATTCAGTATTCAATTTTTTCAAACTAATTTCAACTCAATTAAACTGATTTAAACCTTTCTGAATCTTCAAATCTCATCTCTTTCACATAATTTTTTTAACTTTAACCATTTACAACAGCAGCTTAGCGATGGCAATTTTAGCTGGAGCAATCCATCTCGCAATTTCTTCAGAAATTGCATTTTCTAGTTATTATTTATTTATTTATTCATTTATTTCATTTACAAAATGAGTTCCATTGTCACTGTAGATTCGTTTTTGAATGTCAAATCAAGAAATTATTTCTCTACACAGGATTTTTGCTACTGTTAATGCATCTGGATGGGTGACAGGAAATAATTCTATCCATTTAGTGAAAGGATCTATTAACACTGAACAGTATTTCTTTTCTCTCACACTGATTTAATTCTCTGAAATCCATGTGTATGGCTTCAAACGATGCATTGGTTGGTGGAAATTGGCCTCTTTTTGGTTTTATACTGTCTTGAGCATTATGTCTAAACTGAACAGATCAAACAATTTTATTATTATTTTTTTTATTTAGTAATTTACTAATCAATAGGGGGTAAAGTGTTGATTAACTACTACACACATCCCTCCTGTCGAGACATGGCAAGGCCCATGACTCGCTATTACTGCCTTTAAAGCTCTCTCTGTTTGCTGATCAGACAAAAATCTTTTGTTTGGAAAACCTAATCTGTGGTAGTTTATGTTCAAGAGCTGTTTTTTTTTTTTTTTTTTTTTTTTATATACTGGAGTCACACAAAAAGGTTAAAGGTAAACCATGAATCATTAACTATATCTGCGGTTTTATGTCTGCATAATGTATTCCTTCTCCAACAGACTGTTGCAGCTCCGCTATCGAAGGGACAGATACAGGAAATCTGTCCTGCCACAAGCTATTGCACTGTTAAGTAACACACATATGTCAGACAGGGACTCACGCCTGTCTGCTGTATAGTACTTTTTTTTAAAAACTCCTATCACATCAGATTACCAAGCACCTTAAATTGTCTGTATATGTATCATCCCATCTGTAATATTTCTCATACCATATTTATTACTCATTTCATATTTATCACTCATTTCATATTTAATACTAGTTTCAATAGTCCACGTTCTTCATATCTCACTTTTATCTCTTAGGATGTTTAGCATATTTAGCCTATATTTATTGTATATACTTAGTATTTTTAGTATTTTTAGTCTGCATTGTACTTCTTATATTTAGTTTTATATTTTCTTTTTGCTGCTATAACAAGAGAATTTCCCAGTTTGGGATCAATAAAGTATATTTATCTGTCTATCTATCAAAAACATATATATATTTATTTATCTTCTTCAAGTATAGCACTTCTTCCTCCTCTGTCTCTTCACTGTTCACACTTTCTCTTCATTTCTGTCGAATAACACTTGCTGTCTCTCCCTCTTTTACTCATGCTTGATACTTTTTTCTACAGCTCTTCACCTAGCGACCAAAGCTCTGCAATTCTCTGATGTTGTGGTTCACGACCTTGGTCAGGGTACTATTCTTCACCTCTCAGCTCCTGTGATTCATTAACTTTTGTCAAAACTTCTACTTCCTCTATTGCCTTCTCTATTGAAATTCCTGCCTCTGAACCTGCTTCTTCCTTGTTCTCTCTGTCATAGTCATCAAATGGTTTATCATCTCTCCTATTATCCCATAGTCGTCCTATTTATCTCATATAATATAAAATTCATTGTCACATTTGGAGTTACTCTTACGTTAAATGGTATTATAGGGAGGGCTTTAATTCCAAGTTAGCTTTGGTGTTCTCTGCACTTTACTATGGTTACTTCTTTAAGTTCCAATAAGGTAAAATATCAATCAGTTGGTTCAAATGTTTAACAGGGATGCCAGCTGAGGTCAGAAAACCTCTTCTTCTCCAGTGACACGTTTACATGTACAACTTATACTTCATAGACTGTAACAGTTTAGTCACAGTTTTGTCTTTTAATAGCTACATGCTTCTGCATAGGGAGGGATTCTTTGGCTGCTGTGTCTCTGGAGGAGTCAAGGTCGTAACTGGCCTCTGATGTATCATTCTATCATTTGTGCAGAGAACAGAGACTGTACAGAGAATTTAACTTGCTAAAAATTTGCAGTCTGCATTAAACCTTTCTGCCTTTTTAACTGCCTTTTCTACCTTTTATTTCTGCATTATTATCAGTATTATTATTATTAAAGTTGTCTTTACTTATAGCTTTTGATCTCGTCCTGACTGCTCACGCCTTCCTTGATCTGGTTTGTTCTTGCACTCCCGGGCTAAATGTCCCTCTTTTCCACATGCCCAGCAACATGTCCCTCTTTGATTTGCTCCTCCTGGTCTGGGCCTATCTTGTCCTCTACCTCTGAATCCTCTTCTGCTTCTGCCCCTAAATCTGCCTCTTGCATTTTGATAGAAGGCTTCATTTTCATTGTCACCTTCTGCAAAAAATGCACTAGCTCCATTTGTTCTTCCCTTTTTTTTTTTTCCTTTCTCCATCCTCTCTGGCTTTTGCTACTTTTTTCCATTCATCAATCATTTGACAACCATATTCTATGCTTATGGAGTCTTGTAGTTTATTTAATTGGCTTGTTCTTAGGCTGCCATCGAATCCAAATTTAGTTACCCATAATTCGAGGAATTGTAATTTTTCGGGTTCTTTCTCAAAGATTCTCCAATCTTGACATCTTAATTCTTCTAAATTAGCCTTATTGGCTTCCGTCCCCATTTTTATGTGTTTTGGTCCAGCTTAGGTGACACCTAGGGTGTCCTATTAAGCTGGGTTCTTTCAATGGGGTAGTGATAAAAATTCCTTATGTGGTAATTCTCACTTCTACTCTTGCGAGTGGAGAATTCTTGCCTTTGCTTCCACAATAAGGTCACTACTTACAATCCCACTGTTTTGGTATGAATAGGATATATCTAGTGATATATCTCTATTCCAATCACTCTCACACTTTCACAATCACACTTTTAACACGTGTTTTGTTCTGCAGAATTTTCTCAACTAGGCCTTTGTCAACGGTACCACACCGGACACGCGCGTCTTCATCGGAATTTAAACTACATCTAAGCTGTGTCTGAATTGGGCCAACGTGTTTAGTATGTTGGAGTAGGATCTAGCAGTAGCACGTAGCAGTAGCATGTAGTATGCGAGTGGGCAATTCGGACACAGCACTAGTTAGTAGGACTCCGGCATCCCTCTCGGAATTTAAACTATTTCTAGTAGGACTCCGGCACCCTTCCTCGGAATTTAAACTACATCTAGTAGTAGGACTCCGGCACCCTTCTCGGAATTTAAACTACATCTAGTAGTAGGACTCCGGCACCCTTCTCGGAATTTAAACTATTTCTAGTAGGACTCCGGCACCCTTCTCGGAATTTAAACTATTTCTAGTAGGACTCCGGCACCCTTTTTGGTCTTTTATAGATTCTCTACGCGAAGTGAATCTCAATCATTCCACGTTCCTTTTTATAAAAGACCAACTCACCACTTGTCTTTCCCCTTGGCTTCGGATTTCCGTCAACCGTCGGATCCCAGCAGGCGGATCGAGTCCAGTTCCTCAAAGAGGTCTTTAAGACTCATCCTAAAGAGTCTGCCGTGGCCACGGTCTTATCTGTCGTCCACCTCACCTGCTGGAATCGTCTGGTCTATTGGAATCCGGCTTGAAGGACCAAAGAAATGTTAGGTTTAAAACCTGCTTGCATTTACCTGAAATAAAAAGGAGAAAGACAATGGATATGTTTGAGTAATGGACAGAGATCTGTTTTAGCTATCTCAGTACCACACTAAGGATACTTTTCTCTGTCCGCCCCTTTTATTTACAGTTGTCCCTGGTTACACAATGTTTCTAAAAATGTGGGAGTAAATGTGCTGCAAAGTAAGCATTTAATAATGAACAATTTGTGAATAGCTGAAGGTCAAGGCGGCATCAAACGAGCTCCTTCTGATAAGGATGGATCCTTCTCAGGAGTTCCCACGATTCATTTTCGGAGAATACGTCACCCCCACATCCACACCTGCTGATAGCGGAAACACGGTCATAGAACACAGAAGAAAACATTGTGTACTGTGTAGTAAAGCTAAAGAAAAGAGAGAAGTTAGGAAAACTCTTATATGATTAAAATACTCTAATATAATGTATAGAAAAGATGTCAAAGAGTTTATATTTGTAGTATAAACTCTTACATAAGAATATGAGGAATAATGATAACTTCTATATACATTTATGCACATTATTCTAACATTTTTGTTGTTTGTTTATATGTTAAGTTCTTTCTCTGCTAGCAGACAGATGTTTTATTGTTCAGGTCATGCAGTGTTTGATTGCATGATTCAGACTTGATTTTCTTGTAAATTCATGTTTTATCAAGAATACAAAATTATTTCCCTAAATGTCAATGGGCTGCAGAACTCCATAAAAAGGAGTATAGCAGTTGCTAAAATGAAAAAAGAGAAACACACCTCTCTTATTCTAATTTTGAATAAATTAGATTTCCAATTCTCCTCACAAATTAGGGATAAGGAAGGATGCTAAATACTGCTTTTTATTAATGACAAGGGAATAACACTTCTTATTGTATATAGACCACCTGGAAGCACTAAGCACTTTATCAGGAGGATTTTTGACATACTATCTATGGACTCGTCAGGTGGATTGATTTGTGGGGGAGACTGGAACACCCATAACACACCATAATTTCAGGAAAGAGATAACAAAGTTGGACAATGCAGTTGTAGCTGTTATTAGGTACCAGGATTTCCCTGGGTTTCTGGAGTGCATAAGTGATGTGGTTTTAGGTGGTAAGTAGTGGGTTAATGGAAGTTGAATGGGGTGGAATCGATGTGAATAAAAAATCCTACTGCATCATGTCTTGATAATCATACAGATGAGCAAGATGGGATGGATCCAGGCGAGGAGATGTGCACAGAACCAAAATCATCTTGTGATGCCCAAACACAGTGGTCAGACCCAGGAATGGAGGATCACATCTATTCAAAAGGAACCATCATCACATGTGGAATTCATTCACCACCACCAGAACTGCCACACCCTGCTGCTGACAGCATGTTAGAGACTGATGCAGACTCCCTTCTGTATACAGGTATCCCTCTCACTGAATTTAAAACACTTGTAGCCTGCCTGAAACCATTTGCCCCATCATCACCATCAGTGCCAGTTGTGGACCAAATTTTTATGACTTTGATGAAACTACAACAAAACGTTGTCATGGCTGATTTAGCACACCGATTTAAAGGTCAGGTCAGTAAGACAGTTGGAATGTGGATTGACATAATGTGTAAACACATGAAAGATCTCATTATGTGGTTGCCTCGTGAGACAATCAAAGCAACATTGCCCGAAGCTTTTACACTGTGTGCACAATTATTAGGCAAGTGAGTATTTTGATCATATCATCATTTTTATGCATATTTTCCAACTCCAAGCTGTATAAACTTGAATGCTTATTGGATATAAGCACATCAGGTAATGTGTATTAGTGTAATGAGGGAGGCTGGGGCCTAAGGAGATCAAAACCCTATATCAAGGTGTGCATAATTATTAGGCAGCTTCTTTTCCTCACGTAAAATGGGCCAAAAAAGAGATTTAAGTGACTCTGAAAAGTCAAAAAATGTAAAAAGTCTTTCAGATGGATGCAGCACTCTTGAAATTGCTTAGATATTTGGGCGTGATCACAGAATCAGCAAACATTTTGATGCAAATAGTCAACAGGGTCGCAAGAAATGTGTTAAGAAAAAAAGACGCAAATTAACTGCCAAAGATTTGAGAAGACTCAAACGTAAAGCTACCAGGAACCCATTATCCTCCGGTGCTGTCATATTCCAGAACTGCAACCTACCTGGTGTGCCCAGAAGTACAAGATGATCAGTGCTCAGAGACATGGCCAAGGTAAGGAAGGCTGAAATCCGACCACCACTGTACAAGACTCAAGTTGAAACGTCAAGACTGGGCCAAGAAATATCTGAAGAGAGATTTTTCAAAGGTTTTATGGACTGATGGGATGAGAGTGACTCTTGACGGACCAGATGGATGGACCCGTGGCTGGATCAGTAATGGGCACAGAGCTCCACTTTGAATCAGACACCAGCAAGGTGGAGGCGGGGTACTGGTATGGGCTGGTATTATTAAAGATGAGCTAGCTGGACCTTTTCGAGTTGAAGATGGACTTAAAATCAACTCCCAAATCCACTGCCAGTTTTGAGAAGACACTTTCTTCAAGCAGTGGTACAGGCAAAAGTCTGCATCTTTAAAGAAAACCATGATTTTTATGCAGGACAATGCTCCATTGCATGCAACAAAGTACTCCACTATGTGGCTCGCCAGTAAAGGCCTTAAAAACGAAAGAATAATGATGTGGCCTCCTTTTTCACCTGACCTAAACCCTATTAAGAACTTGTGAGCCCTTCTTAAATGGGAAATTTACAGTGAAGGAAAACAGTATACCTCTCTGAACAGTGTCTGGAAGGCTTTGGTTACTGCAACACAAAAAGTTGATTGTCAATAGATCAAGAAACTGAAAGACTCCATGAATGAAAGGCTTATGACTTTTATTGAAAAAAAGGGTAGTTACATTGGTCACTGATTGTTTTTTTTTTTAATTTCAAAAATTTTAATTTGTAAATTGAGTTGTTTGTTTATCATTCTCACTTTAACAAGTGAAAATAAACATGTAAGATGGAACATTTTTCATGTTAATTTAGTTGCATAATAATTCTGCACACTAATAGCTGCCCCCAATAATTGTGCACACATAGATATTCTCCTAAGGAAGCCAAAATCTCACTTTTACTCCCTTAAATTTTCAGGTTTGAGGTTTATTAACATTTTGGATTGACCGAGAGCACTGCAGTTGTTCAAAAATAAAATTTATCCTCAAAAATACAACTTGCCTAATAATTCTACACACAGTGTAAAGATCATTTTCCCGATACAACCTGTGTAGTTGACTGCACAGAGACTGTGTTACAAAAAGCAAAAAATCTGGATTCAAGAATTGAGTCATACAGCCACTATTATGCAAATTACACGTTCAAGTATTTAGTAACTGTTTCTCCCTCCGGAGTAATCGTGTTCATTTCTGATGCTTATGGTGGGAAATGCAGTGACAGGTACATAACACAGAACTCAGGGTTTCTAGAGTACCTGTGTGCTGGGGATGAGGTGATGGGTGACCATGGCTTCATTGTGAGGGATTTGCTGGAGGAGCGCAGGGTGAACCTAATAATTCCAGCATTCACACGCAAAGGCTGCCAGCTGACCAACGAGGGGGTCACATGTACACGCCGCATTCATGCTCGCATTCATGTGGACTGTGCAATAAGGTGTTTGAAGGTCTACAAGATCCTCTCACGAATGGCGCCAATCACCTTAGTGCCGAAAATTAATAAGATTCTCAAAATCTGTGCAGGTTTGGTGAATTTAAGAGCTGAACTTATTTCAAGTAAACCAAGAGAAGAGATTTAATGTTGCACTCATACATAGACATACACACAGATATGTAATTATGTACATAAAACAACTGAGGTGCTGCTCTCCTTTATTTTTCAGAGCTGCAGTTGTCAAACCAATTACCGACTTAACAGAAATTATTCATGAATAAGACAGTTCAACTAATTTGACTTGAACTTGTGCGTATTTCCTGTATGATTGTTGTTTGTGAAACAAATAGTCTTTGTAATGATAGAACAACTAAACAACTGAAAATGTGTTATTTTCTTTCCCGATTTTTCTTTTGATGTCTGTAACACACATGACACCTGTTAAGTGCTTACTGCATTTTCAAGAGATTCGGGTATTTTGGGCAAAGCAGAAGCCTCTTTGCAAGAAATTCATCCACCAACTTTGGAAGCATATGTGAAAAGTAGAAATTTTGGAGGTGTGTCATGTGTTTCTCTGCTTTATCAAATGGGATGTCCAACTTCAGGTGCTCAGTTGGAGTCCAGATGACCAGCTTGCAAGTCTGCAGCTGCAGGCACATCATTGTCAGCTGGACCTGGAGGAATAAGTGTCAAATATGGCTTAGTTTCTTTTCGTGGAGGCTTACATGTACCCTGTCACATCAATTCATACATGAAATGAGTTCATTATGTCCCTTCTGTATAAAATCTATTTGTGTTTCTTTTTAATCAACATTAGGGTTCAGGTGATTACCTTCTTTCTGACATGTTTTGGCTGACAGGTCAGTCACACCCTCTGCTGTCTGCTCACCCTTTGTAGAATTCTGCTCCAGGTGTAGAAGAGCATGTAGGCTCCCTCGTCCCAGTTGATGGTGTTCTGGCCTCGCTTCCTGATTTCAACTGATTCCCTTATCCAGCGGTGGTGTTTGTCATCCTCTGTACAGATGACTCAGCCCTTGTCCCAGTCCAATAAAGGAAAACAGCAGGAGAACTATTAATCAGCCACCACAGACCACTGTAAAAGGGAAAATCATGTAATGGACTGGGACAAGGCCAGAGACATCTGTACAGAGGACAACAAACACCACTGCTGGATTAGGGAATCAGTTGAAATCAGGAAGCGAGGCCAAAACACCATCCACCAGGATAAGCGAGCCTACATGCACACATGTAGGCTGGAACAGCATTCTACAGTGGGCGAGCGGACAGCAGAGCTGCTGATGAGGACACGTCACAGCAACACCAGCAACACTCTGAAGAAGGCGGAAGATATCTCAGCCAAAACGTCAGCAAGAAGGTAATCACCTAAACCCTAATGTCGGGTAAAAAGAAAAACAAAAAGATTAATTCATACATTATAATTAACTACATTTAGCCACCTGAAGATAGTATCCACATGGCCCATTGGGAAGAACGAGATAGAATAGAATAGAATAGAATAGAATATTCCTTTATTGATCCCCCATGGGGGAAATTTTTTTGTCACAGCAGCATCACAGACAAGACAAAGAGTGCAAAAATGCAGTTATAACAATAAGGATCCTAATATTAAGAACTTAAATAAATGTAATAATTAAGAAAAAAATTAGAAAAGGGAAAAAGGGAGAAGAAAAAATAAAACTTTCTACAATATACACAATTTACACAATTTAAATGCCAGAAAAAAAGTGGTGGTGTAAATCCAGTTTTGTTACTGTTCATTGTAAAGTCTTATTGCAGAGGGGAGGAATGATCTGCGGTAGCGCTCCGTCCTGCAGGGTGGGAGTCTCAGTCTGCTGCTGAAGGAGCTGCCTAAAGCCCCCACAGTCTGATGCAGTGGGTGAGAGGGATTGTCCATGATGGATACAAGCTTTCTTAACATCCTCCTCTGACTCACCTCCTCTAGGGAGTCCAAAGAACAGTCAATCAAAAAGGTCCTCAAAATTAACAGAGATAACTTCTTCTAAGCATCTGATGTCACTAGTTAGTACTTGAGCCAAGAACCAAAATTTCACATATCGGTACCACCTGGGTGGGCAAATTCTAGTTGTGATTTTTTTATTGCTAAACATCCCTACAATAAGTTTTTATATGATAGACCTTGGTAACTGGTAGCTTTATTGTAGTTATCACTCATTAAAGTCATAGAGTGCAGCTGTTCAAAAATGAAAAATCGCCTTCCTTCAAAATTAGCTTTCTTTCATTTTAACCTCTCATTTAGGTGTGTTTGAACTATTGGCTAGCCATAGAGACTTGTAATAACCCCCTAAATAGTATTTCAAGTAATTTATCTAATACAGGTGTGTATATATAAGCTTCAATTAGCCAATTGTCAGGTCTAAATCAAGGTCTAAATTGAGGATATTTTTTGACATAGAAGTAGAAGTAAAATATATGCAGACTAATAGCATTATAATAACACAACCTTAATATGACACTGACATATTTTAAATGCAGGCACTCAATAAACAATCATCCTGGCTGGTGCAGGGCAAGAAGACATTAGCAACAAAATAAGATCTACTGGTGTATACACTCTATACAATCATCTAAGAAAAACTCAAATTCCTATTCAAAGTCCTATTCTTTCCATAAGGAACAGTGACAGCAAATATGACTGCCAAATATATAAGTTTTGCCTTAGTACATAATACTGTCACTGAGTCACAGTGGGTCTGTTAACATAGCTCCCTTTGGTCATCATTTATTAATCAACATCAGTAATCGACATCAGTATCTGTATCTTCTTCTACATCTGAATCTGCCGGTGTGCAAGGGGCTCTTCCTCACTGTATTGGTTGGCACAAGTTTGTAATTTGCACAGGTTTGTGCACTTCAGCCCATTGCTGAGACACGTGCAGTCTGGTGGTTTGCATGTCCTCACACACTTGCAGGATAGCAACTGCAAGACCGCATCTGGTGCATTAATAGGCAATCCTGACATGGTGTAAGCTGGCTGGACTCAACTTTAGCCAAGGTCCTGCATGAAGGTGGTGATAGTGAAAGGATTGATGTTGTCTTTGACGTTTACAAGGACATGTCAATCAAAAATTCAGAAAGACTAAACAGAGGTGCAGACATGGGGATCCAGTTCAGAAACATTGTTTCTGGCCACAATATTCAGCAGTGGAGGAAACTTCTCTTCAGCCCTGCCAACAAAGCCAGTCTCATCAAGTTCTTGGTGGAGGAATGGAGTTTTTCTCAGATGATTGTATACACTGTGTGCACAATTATTAGGCAAGTTGTATTTTTGAGGATAAATTTTATTTTTGAACAACTACAGTGCTCTCAGTCAATCCAAAATGTTAATAAACCTCAAACCTTAATATTTAAGGGAGTAAAAGTGAGATTTTGACTTCCTTAGGAGAATATCTATGTGTGCACAATTATTGGGGGCAGCTATTAGTGTGCAGAATTATTATGCAACTAAATTAAAAATGAAAAATTTTCCATCTCACTTGTTTATTTTCACTTGTTAAAGTGAGAATGATAAACAAACAACTCAATTTACAAATAAAAATTGTTGAAATTTTAAAAAAAATCAGTGACCAATGTAACTACCCTTCTTTTCAATAACAGTCATAAGCTTTCCATTCATGGAGTCTTTCAGTTTCTTGATCTGTTGACGATCAACTTTTTGTGTTGCAGTAACCAATGCCTTCCAGACACTGTTCCAGACACTGTTCAGAGAGGTGTACTGTCTTCCTTCACTGTAAATTTCCTGTTTAAGAAGGGCTCACAAGTTCTCAACAGGGTTTAGGTCAGGTGAAGAAGGAGGCCACGTCATTATTCTTTCGTTTTTAAGGCCTTTACTGGTGAGCCACATAGTGGAGTACTTTGTTGCATGCAATGGAGCATTGTCCTGCATAAAAATCATGGTTTTCTTGAAAGATGCAGACTTTTGCCTGTACCACTGCTTGAAGAAAGTGTCTTCTAAAAACTGGCAGTTGGTTTGGGAGTTGATTTTAAGTCCATCTTCAACTTGAAAAGGTCCAGCTAGCTCATCTTTAATAATACCAGCCCATACCAGTACCCCGTCT